ATTGTACACTAAGCTATTTGTTTTTCAATCTGTTCTCAACTTTAATTTTTCTAAAATATAGTTCAAAGATTTATAATCAGATTATTCCGTGTTGTCTTTTTTACTTTTATCCTTCCTCCATTCATTTAATAGATAAGTATTGAGCATCTATTATATGCCAGCCATTGTGTTAGATACTGGAGATAGAAATGTGAGCAAAAACAGACTTGGCCTACGACTCCATGAAGTTCGCAGTTTACCTGGAGAGTTTGGCATTAATCATATAATACCCGAATAATTACAAAATTTCAAATGGGAAAAATGTTACATGGGAAGCACGTAGCTAAAAGATATTCGGCAAGGGGACCTTGTCTTTGGAACGATGGGAGGAGGGCTTCCCTGGGAAACGTCTTTGGAGAATTTTGAAAGATGAATAAAAGTAAACTAGGTGAAGAGAGAAGGAACTGGAAGAAAATTCCAGAGGAGAAAACAGCATGTGCAAAAGAAAAGAATAAAAAGACGGAGAGGTTGTATGTGTCTGGATCACAAGAAGTGAGAGGTGGACGGCAGTGAAGGCAGATAAGGCTGGAGAGGAGTTGGCAGTGTGGCCAGGCCGTCCGAGGCCTCGTTTGTCATCTCAGTAATTTTGATATTTTTTTTTTTAAGTTTATTGGGGTAACATTGGTTAACACAATCATATAATTTTCAGGTGTACATTATCATTTGACATCTGTATATTCTATTGTGTGTTCACCACTCAAAGTCCGGTTTCCTTCAGCTACTATATATTTATTCTAATGTTTTTAAATAGGGTGAAGTGACATGATTAGATATGCATTTTAATAACATTCTATATGCATTTGTGAGAATGGACTGGAAGTGGGCAAGGATAGAACCAGAAAGCCCTGTTATATTAGTTCTAAGTTTTAGACGTGAGATAATGATGGTAAAGATAGAAGTTGCTGGATTAAAGAAACACTTAGGATGAAATATCACCAGCCCTTGGAGATGTATTAGATGTGGGAAGTGGAAGTGAGGGCAGTGTCTATAAAGCTTCTAGACTATGGTTTCATTAACTGTAAAAATATCGGTGCCTTTTATTGGATAAGGGACAATGAAGGTGAACCATGCTAGAGGAGAAAATGTCTTGAATTTAGTTTTGAGATGAGTGTACAGTGAGCTAACTTCGCATCATCTTTCTTCTTTACTCACGTGATTCTCCTATTTTCATCTATTCATTTATTTTCTGTTTTAACAAATCATTAGTAAGCACCAACAACGGGATTCAAAAACGATGATACAAACATAGCCTTTCAGGGAGCTTAGTCGAGGACAAAGCAATTAAAATGAATGGTACTATTAATTAAGCACTATGATGGAAAAAAATATTACCAAGACACAGAAGGGCACACCTCACCCAGAACTGGGATGGAGGCTGGGAATCCTGGAATGATTTCTGAAGGAAATGTCTCTGATGAAACCTGAAAGAAGGAAGCCTCAAGAAAGGGTATTCCAGGCAGAGGACAAAACACGTGTAGACAGGAAACAAGCGGGCACAGTGAGTTAAGGAGATCAAAGCACACAACCTGGAGATGGAAGCAGGAGTTGTGAGCTAACTTAGGAGTCTGGGTTTTATCCTGACAGCAAAGTATTGTAACGCTCTTTCCCACTTTGATCATTATTTATTAAACTTCTAATTTTTTTTGTCTCTTTTTCTACTACATTCATGTACACACACACATCATTCTCTTTTTTTCCTCAACAAACACAATATCAAACATTCTGCAAAAACAAGAAGTCACATGGGGTTTCGGATTACATTTGGAAAACCAGGAGATCATGTTATAACCCCCGGAGCTCATTAGGCAGATACTTCTGATTACTTTAAAGCTATTAACATCACTCTGGAAGCATCCTTAGGGACATTTTTTTCTGATTGCACCAAACTATTGTTTCCAACTTGACAGTCAGCGGTCCTCAAGCCTTACTTTCACACATTCATTAAAGGAATGTTGTTCATATGGCATGACAATTCTCGAACAGAAAGAAATCCCCACTGCCCATAACATTCAACGTCTTGTCTAATTTTTCATCTCCCAATCACATGATAGAACTGCCTAAGCTCTCTCTTTGGTCCCACTCAGGTCTGGTTCTTAGGTTTCGTTCCAACTGTCCCTCTGCATTTTCCTCTGCAGTTCTCCTGTCTTGAAAGCTCATCTTCCAATAGTCACTCTCTTTGTTCAAACTATAATGCCAGGTTTTCTCACACCTTATACCCATTCACAAAAACTACCTGTAGTTCTTCCAACACTCCATTATATTTCATGCCTTTGTTCTTTTATACATACATTAGTCTCTCTTCTTAAGATATGCTTCCCCTTTACCTACCTGGACAAGTGTTATCCTTCAAGACCCATCTCAAGCACTTTCTTCTTGTGACCAGCCCTCATCTCTTACCAACCTCCCGCCAAATGTGAAGAATGAAGCACTAAGTCAGACCTACCATACTGTTTATTATTATTTTAGTCTTCTGTCTTTACTACACAGGGTCAAGACTGTATATGCTTTACCTTTATATCTTCTGTACCAAAACGGTGCCTGACAGGAAGTAGACACCAAATGAGGGACTGCTGAATGAATCAATTATTCAGTGAATGAATATCCAAACATGTTGAAAAGGCTTCTCAAATGTATGAGGGAGATGGCTGAATACCCTTCTCCTGCCAGCTATCATCTTCATTTATCATATATTTTTAAACCATTATAAAGATATGATTCTCGGTTCTAATCTCTAGAGATCCTAATGGGCACCCAGCTGCTTCTGACTTTGAGAGCTCTGCTGAGAAACTTTGTTCTAAAGCAAGAATTTCAGGAAACAGAGCCGACATTAAAATTCATGGGAAACTTTCCTTTTCCATTTACCTATATCTCTTTGAAGTAAAACAAAACCTCAGGTGTACACCATAGATTTCATTGGTTCCTCCATCCACCTATTCAACTATCCATCCATCCATTCCACTCCTCTTCCATTTACCTATAAGTCCTTGAAGTAAAACAAAACCCAGGGTACACACCACAGAATTCAGTGAGCCCTCCATTTATCTACTCACATATCCAGCCATCTATCCATCCGTTCATCCTACACTGTGCTAGGAGACCCCCCAGCATTGACCTAGGTACCCTCTCAGTCACAGGAGAAGAGGAAATGTGCATGTAAGTCAGACTCTGCTCCAGAAGCATTTAAAACCAAATAATCACTTGTGGAAGAAGTTTCAAGATGAACAACACAGGCACGGCGAGGGTTTAAAGTTAACAGCAAGAACATGTCAGCTTTCATCTGTCTTTTCCTCTTAAGAAAACACCCACAAGTCCTGATTTCTGAGTTAACTGAAAGTCCCTCTCAGTTCTTATTTCCTATGGAAGATTTAACTAGGATTCTAAGGGCAGGGTGGGAGTTTCATGTCTTCTTCAATGACTCCTTTAGATGTTCACATAACGTGGTTGGGCTGTCATCATTCTGACCCGTGGGGATCCTGGGTTCGGCTATTTTAGAAGCATACTGAGTTGCTTCCCTTGCATCACATATTATGCATTTTGATGCGGAACATCTATTTTTGGCCGTTCTTCTCTCCTTCGCTCTCTAGAAGTCCACAGACTTCACTGATTTTCTGTTGCTAAGACATGCCCCCAACTTGCACTCCCTACAACTTGACAAGTGCCATTTGGTTTATTTTCTTCTCAAAGTTGGTGATCTATTATTATTATTTTTTTAATCTATCACTCCTTTCCTGCCCTCAGGTGAGTCATTTTCACTGAGACTGTCCCTACGGCTGGAACAGGGATAGCCAGGAATTCCTGAAGTCTGGCAGAGAGCGAGGCTGGGCCGACCTGATTTATCCCCACTTGAAGAAGCTGTTTTTGCCTACTTTTTTTTTTACCGTCTTTGGCATGCTTTTCTCTCCTACCACCGACCCTGCCATCTGGTCATGATTTCTTGTTATCGCAGAAGCTTCAGAGTCAATTCTTCATCACTTCTGCAAGTCCTCAAAGGCTCCATTACTTAGCCAACTCCCACCCTCCCAACACACACACACTCCCAACATGGCAAAAGGGACAATTTCCTTTTCAGAGACTGTCTGACAGATGAGCCCAGGAAGCCAGCTGCTAGGTGATGTGGCTTTTCTTGGAGCAACTTGGTAAGCTGCTGAAGAAAAGGGAACTGAGAAGTGAACTAATACATAAACAAGCCAACAACCCTTTTCAACAGAAAAAAGATATGGACCAGCTTCTCTGTCTGCTAGCTAGGTACAGAAGAGCCTGCGGGGGGCTTCTGAGTACTGCGAGTTGGCAGAGCCACAAGGCAGAAGGAGCCTGGGTCTCTGAATCACCAGGCAGAAGGCCATTCACCCAAAGCACATATGAACATGTGTTCTATCGTGTTAAGCCACTGAGATGTGGGGATTGTTTGTTAGAGCCATTTGCTTACCCTGACTCAAAGGAATATGAACACTCACAGGACTCTGAGGAGAAGGACATTTATGCTGTTCTTTCCATGTGCCAAGGAATCAAAGGCATGCAGGAAGAAGGCTCTACCACAACTGCACATCCTTGGTGGGACAAGGGCTTTCAGAAGAAGCACTCACTGATGGATCCTTTGCTGGCTGAAAGGGGCAGTGTAGCAGTCATTCTCCTCCAGGTCTGGCAGTGTCTCCTTGTCCAGCCTCATTGGCTTCTTAGGTAACCATCTCCGAAACCTGCTTATTTGTTTATCGATCCTGTGGTACATGAAAGGCAAGACCAAAGGGTACAGCATGTCAGCATTGCCCCGAAACAGGCAGAAAGTCTCCACAAAGCCACAATTATGTCACCACATACTCCAGGCACTCTCACTGCACTCATGATACCCCACGCCCCGCCCCCCCATTTTATAGACAGAAAGAAGAGAGCCACAACTTCAGTGTTCTTTTGATTTCACCCAGTTGCCTCAACGTCATTGTCTATGAGACAGCAGCCGTGAGTTATGCCAACAAATGACCAAGGAATCCTAACAAGGCTGGAAGGGTCTAGAAAGGAAGTTGACAGTCTCCTAAGCAAAGCGGCAGAGAACTTAATTTTTTATATTCTGCAGATTTTTAGAAACTCATTTTGTGCTTGGAAAATTTCTCTATCTTCCCTTGGTTAGGAAAGAGCTCTAGCTGTGTTTAACTTTGAGCAAGGAGCTGACAGCATATCCCAGTGGGCTGACTGGTGCAGAGAGCCTGACGTCAGGATTTGCCTCCTGCCTCTCACACCTTCCCTGAGCAGCCTCTCAGCAGATGGCAGGCTCCTTATCTTTTGCTTCTCTCTATTTAGTGCGACCCTATGGTTCTCATGGTGCTGGGGCATCATGACACACATGTATCACTCCGGCTGGGCACACAATGATGTCAAGTCAAGGAGAACAAATGTATCCTAGAAGCCAGTTTTTCCCTGGCTACCTCTCATTCCCTATGACTTGTACTGATGAAGAGATCTGGCTTCAGAGTGACCAGATTCTCAATCACTCACAGCAAACTACTGGCAGGAGCAAAAACCACAGCAGAGTTTAAAATGATTATGCTGCCTCAGGTATCTATACCATGGGGAATTTTCCTTTTTCCCAAGAGTACATATCAAATAGTATCTCTGTGAGGTAGAGTGACAGGTACCATACCCATGATTATTTAACCCAAATTATCCAGCCAGTGTATAAAGCCAGGACCAGAATGCAGATTTTGGACTCTAGATTTTAGGGATCACCCCATCGAAGTAGTTGACAATGAAAATCTTCACTTAAGGGCTACAGAAGGGATGGATTTCTCAGGAAAAGAAAATTTAAATGCCTTCTAAGTCTATTAACTGAAAACACATGGAATCTGGGCATGTCTTATTTTTTTCCAATTAAAAAAATATTTACATGGCAATTTATCCTTTTCAGAGAAACTCCCAGCTGAAGGTATTAATTAATTATATTACCAACCGACTCCAAAACAATAAAATAAAATAAAACAAACAAACAAATAAATAAATAAATAAAATAAAAGATGGTAAAATCTTTTACTGTATCTTTTATTCTCAGCATTGTTTCATCTTCACCATGATCCCACTCTGCTTGTTGGTGGCCATACATTTTTCAGAACCCCTGAAAGTTCAAACTGGAAAGAACCTCACAGCTTCTCTAGACCCCTCCTCTCAAAGAGGACCCATCCGTGCCACACGTGCACACATAGGAGTAAAGATTCTACCCAGGGTCTTATGGTCAGAAAAATCATAAGTTGGAAGGGCCCAAAGCCCTAAGAAGGAGAAAAAGTTCCCATCTCCTCCATCCTTCATCCTTCTGGTCATCCCCTCCCTCAGTCTCTCTAAAGATCCTTAAAATATACTGAGATGAGAAGCTTGCGAGAAGTAGTATGACAATCACTGAGAACATGGGGCTAGAGAGCCTAGATTCAAACCCTGACTCTGTAAATATTAGCAGTGTGACCGTTGGCCAGTAAGTTATTTAACTTTGCTGTGCCTCAGTTTCTTTATCTGTAAAAAATGGGCATGATAATGATACTCAATTCCTAGGGTTATGATGATTAGCTGGTCAATATGTACAGAAAGTCTTTAGAACAGTGTCTGATATACAGTAAGCACTGGTTATTATTACTATTCTTTCTTTTTTTTTCAAAAATAAGAATTTGAGAAACCAGTTTGCCTTTTAACATTCTGTTTTGTCTTTTTCAATTCAAAGTTAATTATGCTTCACTGGCATCTAACACTTGCCCAAGTTCAATGATTTAGTCCTTAAATGGACTCATAACTTAGACTTTCTAGTCTAAGCTGACGGCTTTCCTCATGGCTCTTGGCTTTATTTTGTCTGATTGCCTTAAAACTCATTCAAGAATGAGGACACTGCATGGTGATAGATGGTAGCTAGACTTATGGTGCTGATCATGTAGTATATACAAGTACCAAATTATAATATTGTATACCTGAAACTAATATGGTATATAAAAATTTTACCTCAATAAAAAATAAGAAAGAAGACATTGGCTCAGAGGTTTTTCATAATATAGTTTTTACCTCCCACACATCTCCAGTCTGCAGCAATAATCAGATTACAATTTACAAAACTCACATTCTCACAAAATCTGGGCTCTGCATGCAATGACTATGAATTAAATCCAGGTGGGTACAGTACTCAGTGTGGATAAAAACAAATAAAGCTGTGAAAAATCAGGCATAAATACTCTATAGGAATGAAATGGCAGCTCGCAGCAACCAGCCTATAGCACCGCAATTAAATGAAAGGTGGAAATGGTGAAGAGAGAGGGTAGTGAAGAACAGGGTAGTGAAAATGATTAATTAATCAAAAAATAAATAGGGGCAAAAAAGTGAAAATGGAAGGGAGGGTGCTTGGCATGGCAGAAGGAAGCTGGGCTTTGTAATGGGGGTATCTAAACCCTGGCTCTGTTGCTTATCTGCTGTGTGACCTTCCACAAATCGATCACCTTTCAGTTTTATTTTTCAACTTTTTAAAAATGGGATCATAAATCATCATCATCATCATCATCATCATTATCCATCATCATCATCATCATCATCCTGACCTTGCAAGGCTGCTACGTGGATTATAAAAGACGATGTGCATGAAATGCTTTGGAGAAATTACCAGGCAGATAGAAGTGTTATTAATTACTTCTTAAGGACCATGGAGGCTAATATAAAAGTGACAGAAAGTAGAGGAACTGGGTTTTTAAACACTATCATAGAAGAAAGATATTTGAAAGACATCTTGAAATTAAAGACCCTTGAGACACTAACTAGGGATGGGGGAGTGTGGACTGGCTTTCATTGGGGCAAATAGGAAGATGAAGCATGGATTGTCCAGGTTCCATCACACACCCTGGTCATGCTATGAGCTCTTTACAATGATAGAAAACAAATACTCAAATGTGGTCAGCAGTTTGTATTCTCATCTGACTTGCAGAATATCTCCCCCCACCAAAGACGCAAACACCCTAATCCTCAAAACTTATGAATATGTCATGTGACATGGCAAAGGGGGCTTTGCAGATGTAAGGTTACAGACCTAAAAATAGGGACAGCATCCTGAATTACTCAGGTAGACCCAATTTAATCCTACGAGCCTTTAAAAATCAAAGAACTTTCTTTGACTGGAGACAGGAGAGATGAAGCAGAAAAGGAGGCAAGAGATTCAGAGTGTGAGCAAGACTCAACTGGCCATTGCTGGCTTTGAAGATGGAGAGAGGGCCAGGAGCTAGGAGTGCAGGCAGCTAGAAGCTGAGAATGACCTTTGACCACGAGCCAGTAAAGAAACAGAGACCTACAGCTGCACAAAGCTGAATTGTGCCAGCAACCTGAATGAGCCAGGAAGAGATTCTCCCTACAGCCTCCAGAGAGCCCAGGCTGACCAAGACCTTGATTTCAGCCTTGGGAGACCCTGAGCAGAAAAACTAGTTAAGCTTCCATCCCCTGGACTTCTGACTTACAGAACCATGAGATAATAAATTTGTGTTGTTTTATGCAGCTAAGTTTGCAGGAATGTGTTACAACAGCAATAGGAAATCAACACATCTCTTAAAACAGCCTTGATCTGATCTTCCCCTTGAGACTTGGCTGCAGCTAGCCAGGCTCCCAATGCTGGTGCTGAAGTTCCATCTGCTGCCCCCACCTGCCAGCCAGGTGGCTCTGGGAACAAGGGTATGTCTCTCTGTGGCTGGATGACAAATGGCTGCTCTTCCACAAGTGCATTCCCATCCCCAAACTGTGCCACATCAATGAGCATCCCCTTCTAACACACAAAGAAGAAATACAGTGAAAAAGCCACCAGGCTGGAAAGTATGAGACTCGTCAGGTTCTTGATTGTCATTCTATGTCAGTGTGGCCTGGGACAAGCTTTTATCCTCACTGAGTCTTAGTACTCTCATCTCTAAATGATAATCTATCAGATGCTATTTACATACCTCATATTGGTGGTGACTTAGGCAATAATATCTTGGCTGTATAGGTCTAAACACATTTGAGTTAATAAAGAACTTCCCTTTTCAAAATGCGTAATGGATAACCTTTCACATAGAATGAAGGACTTTGGTGTCAACCGGAAGCAGGTTCACATTCTAGCTGTACAGCTCACTAGTGATGAGTACCATACTGACCAGGTGACTAAACCTCTCTGAGCTAATTAATATACCCACTGCATAAGGCAGTAGTGAGTACTCCACAAGATAATATCAAATGTCTGCACAATACCGCAGATGTTAAAAAAAAAAAAAAAGCTCAATTAAGTGGTGGTATCTAGGATAAAAAAAAAAGGCTGAGGACAATGAACTTTCTTTTTTTTTATGGTGACATTGATTAACGAAATCTGGTAAGGTGTCTGCACAATACTGCAGATGTAAAAAAAAAAAAAATGCTCAATTAAGTGGTGGTATCTAGGATAAAAAAAAGGCTGAGGATAATGAACTTTTTTTTATGGTGACATTAACGAAATCTAGTGAGTTTCAGTTGTACATTTTAACAGTAAGGCATATGTATATTTACATTGGACAATAAACTTTTATAGAAAGAGCTCTCGATGAAAATTCTAGATTTGGGATTGATCCTCACTTGTATATTGAGGTTTGTGCTTCCATCTTGCTTCTAATAAACGTCGCTAAACAGGCAATCCTGAAATTCACTTAGATATGTAAAAGTCGAGAAACCAAGCAACCAGGAAGCACCCCATTTGTCTCTTCAGCATAGGAGTGAG